AAAAAAAAAAAAAAAAAAAAAAAAAAAAAACATCCTTAGATCACAGGAAAGGAGCTTGACATGAGATCTTAAGTACAGGCTGAGGACTTGGTTCCCGTGTAAGCTTCTGGCCCAACTGCTCTCCTGGACCTGCTAATTTGGCTGGGAACCATCATTGTTGGCATGCCTGGGGACAGATGAATTCCAGGACTCTGAAGTACAGCTAGATTGGGACCACCAGACACCATACTCTCATCACATTTTTACTGCGTGTAGTTCAGTCTTCGGCCATTCTTTCAGTTCAGTTCAGCTGAAAAGAGAAAGTAAGCAAAGCCTGTTGCTGTGAATGGAAGTCATCTACCATTCATCCCGTGGCAATGGTGATATAATTAAAGCAGTTTCCCAACTTCCATGTCATCGTTATCTCCTTCAGGAATCTCTCAACTTTTCCTAAATCATAATTCCACAGATGTACCAAAGGTCTGTCTATGGAGCCTGTAAGATGGCTCCATAGATAAAGGCGCTGACTGCAAAGTCTTATGACCTGAGTTCCATCCCAGAACCCATATGATAGGAGGAGAGAACCACCTCCCACAGGTTGTCTTCTAACCTCTGCATATGTGTTTGCAGAGATGCATAAATGAGTGAATGCAAAGATAACATCTATGCACTGTATGTGTCTATGTTAATGTACTATAAAAGAGGAACTTTTTTCACTCCTCGAGAAACTTCTCACTCCCCTTGGGAGAAGTATCCCTTCACTGAGGGGCCTGTGGAGTAGAGTAAGCACAGCTGGATTTCAGGTCCAGAGTATAAGGTGGCAGGTGGGTCTCCAAAGCTCTGTCCACTGTACTTTCCAACTCTGACTAAAGTCACGCCGCCATAATTCTTTCTTGTTTCTCAGTCTGTTGTCCCTATTTCGTCCCCTTCTCCCATCTGGATTTCATTCTTTTTCTCATTCTACTGTGGAAGTTCAGAAGTAAATGTCATTAAGACAGCAAACCGTACATCTCAGGGATGCTTAGGACAGATCATTTCTTTGGTGGATGGTGGTGCTGCTGGGGATTGAACCCAGGGACCTATACATGCGAGGCAAGCACTCTGTCAATAAACTGTACCCCCAGCCAAGGAAGATAGTTTCCTAAAACAGCCCCCCAAGAGGTTAAGAAGAAAGAGGCCAGAGGCCTGTGGAGGGTTCACAGGAAAGCACAGTTGACTTCATGACTGGAGGAGCCGTCAGAGTGACCTTTCAGAGGCCAGTGCACAGGAAGGCTTATTATAACCAGCAGCTCCAGCAGGCTTTCAAAGGGAAGCCGTGTATTGGGTCATACTTCTTCGTTCAGTTGGTCTGCAGTTGATGGCAGTTCTGTCAGTGGGATATCAGCTCTCTTCTTTAGCCAGGCAAACCAATGACAATGTCACCTTTCCTCTAGAAACTGCCGGAGGCATGCACCGTTGGTGATGGAAGGCCATTTGCCATGAATCTGCAGAGTGTGTATGTGGCAGTCACCAGACAGCAGATCCAAGCAGGGCAGAAGCGCCGTGGCTCTGGTGAGTATCCCAGTCACAGCTGGCCTGCGTGGGGTAGAGTTAGAGCTTAGGTCTATGCTGTTGGATTTAGCGGTTCTAACCATATCATCTATTCACATTTCAATCAGTAAGAACTAAATAAAATCAAAAATCATTCCCATGTGTACTTTAGCCATATTTCAAGTGCTCCGTAGCCACGTGGCCGGTGCAGATACAGAACACATGCCCCACCACAGAGCATTCTCATAACTAGCCGGCCCCAGTGCCTAGGAGTTAGCAAGAGCACTAACCAGAAAATTAACCCGGGGGCTGCATAGAGATTTGCTCACCTCCCGTGAACCAAGGAAACTCAACCTACGTGCTGAAAGTGGGCTTTGGAGTCTTCGTAGGAACAGGGTTTGCTCAACGTCAGCTGGAAGCTGCCTCCTTCAATCTGTTAATATATTAATAGCAAACTCTGCCCTTCGTCCGAATGCTTGGTGAATGCTTCTGCTCTCCGGAGAGCAGGCATTTTTCTCTGCCTTCTGTTGATCTTTCTGATTTCAGGAGAGACTCAGACATCATGCAGCACCTCCCCTCAAAGAACTGATAGCCAGCTTCTGAACCAGCCAGAACAGCCAGCCTCCTCCACTCCAGCCCTCTCAGAGCCTGAACAGGAGCCCACAGTGAGTGACACGAACAGCTTCCTGGGCGGCCTTCCGAACACTGGAGAAGTTGGCCCCGTAACCTGGCAGCCATGGTTTCTGTGCTTGCTGCCTAGTTGACACGGCCTTGGTGGTGTGAGAGAGATTGTGGGCTCCTGCCAAGTTGTAGAGCATCGTGCTTTCTCACATCCTCCTCCCTTGCTGTCTCCTGTCATTCTTGAGTTGAGTGATGAACCTCGACTCCCTTTTCACCGGAAGCAGAATATACTCTACTTCCGGTGATGGACCATGAGAGACATGCCCACTTAGAATCTTATAGCACTTCCTAAAATAAACCTCAAAACATCTACATCAGATACTTTAAGAAGGGCTTCATACCAACCAGGAGCCAAGAGAGATCTGTTTCAAAACTCCAGTTAACTGGAATTCCTTTTCTTCTAGGGTGCTTCAGGCCCAACGCAGAGACCTCAGCTGGCCAAGTCCAAGAGGAAAAAGCCAAGAGGACTCTTCAGTTAACTTGCCATGTCTCTGCCACCGAGAAGGGAGCAGAACAGCTTCCCAGCATAATCTGGGAAGGAGCTTGCATGGCAGAGCATCCCTCGGATGGAGCTGCAGTCGGAGGCCTAAGTTTATGTTGACAGGCCACCTGAATGGGGACTTCCTCACTGGTGGAAGTTTGGCTCTGGCTCCAACTCATTGGCATTGGTATTCCATATGGATTGAAGTCAGCTCCTCATTCAGTGGCGTTTTCTCTAGAACTCGTACCCTATGGTGAACTTAGATTAAAGCAAGTCTGCAAAGAGGCACGTGCCCAAGACACCCATCTGCTTTTTGTAAGGGCCCCTGGCCAGTCCTACGTGGCTCTTAGAAAAGCGCTCCTCTCCTAACAGAATAAAGGGCCCACGCTCCCCTGCTGTTGAGCCTGCCTGTCTGTGATCTAGAACATGTTCCTGCCCACAGCCCCTGTTATCCCTGCCTCACGACTGATCCTACATCCTACAGGTTTCTCATCAGCTTCTCTGATGTGGCCTGAGGGTAGTCACAATTAGACATCTTGATCTTGAGAACTCTCCATGGTGGTACAAGACAGATTACTGCTCTCTGTCAAGCTTGGGTGTATTTCTTGTGTCCTTCTAAAGCACAGAGAACAGGTTAAACCATAGTGTCAGACAAATAACTACAAATGGCTTCAAGAACTAGGGCGAAAGTCAGGCCCCAGGGGTGGGAGAAAAGGGAATTTGACTTTCTTTCTCTCTCTCTCTCTCTCTCTCTCTCTCTCTCTCTCTCTCTCTCTCTCTCTCTGTGTGTGTGTGTGTGTGTGTGTGTGTGTGTGTGTGGTCTTTGTCTTTACAGCCCCCCCCCCACATCCCAAGACAGGGTCTCACTGTGTAGCCCCAGCTGGCCTGGAACTCACTATGTAGACCAGGCTGGCCTATGAATTCAGAGATCTGCCTTCCAAGTGCTGGGATTAAAGGCATGTGCTGGCTTGAACTATGTACAAGAGGATGGCCTTGAACTACTAGTCCTTCTGCCTGCACTTAAGTGCTAGGATTACAAGCGTGTGTGCCACCACACCTGGTTTATGCATTCTGGAGATCAAGTCCAGAGCTTCTTGCATGCTAGGCAAGTACTCTGCCTAGTAAGCTAAAACTCTAAATTTGACTTCTCTTTCTTCACTTTAAATAATGGAGTAAGTTTAGCTATGAGGCTAGGGAACAGGAACCCCAGAAGTCCCCTAGAACAGAACTGGTATTGAACAGTATCTAATGGGAAGATGTATCAAGGCTAGGATGCCCCTGGAAGATTGCTATGAGTTCAAGGCCAGCTTGGGCCACAGAATACGATCTTGTCTGAAACCAAGAAAAGGCTGTGTAAAGGGCAGAAGCCCAAAGTCACTCTCGGGCACCCGGCTTATCTGCACAGTACCTTGACCTTCTCCACCATGTCCTCCTCTATAGTAAGACCATCTGAAACTTGAACTTGGGTTGGTAGCAGTGGAAAGTGAACTCAGATGTTCAGTGGGAACACTGAGGTAGAGGGGGGGAGATGAGGAAGCCATTTTGGTATGCTTGCTTTGGAGGGCTTTCTCTTCCATGTCTCTTCCCTCTCTCCCTGAAACTGATGTCTCTGCCCAGATGTCAGTCCTTGGAGACAGGATCATAGAAGTCATGCTAAAGTACTGATTATTACAACAAATAGCTAGCTCTTACTGAGTAGTTCATGTCCCGAGTAGTCTGTCCAAATGAGTGTCGGGTGCAGAGCGTCATCATCTGAAGATGGTACCAGTGACCCATTAGAAAACCTAGTCTTGAAATGACTGACCTATTAAAGGTCAGACAGCTAGTAAGTGACAGGCAGAATTAGTGAACATCTCAGCCAGTCACAGCTTATTAGATACTTGACTGAACATATTTCCAGGAAGATTTTGTGTTCTCTTGCCGTCTTCCACAGTCTACATCTCTCTCCTGCGTGCAGACTCACCAAAGCAGGAGCCCCTGAGGATGCTGGGACTTTCTGCTGCCGCCATGCTCCTGCTGTGGCTCACATCGCTCTACCTTCCTCTACCTTCGGGCCACACCACCACGGGTGTGCCCTGCGGTAGACACTCACCACAGTGAAGCTCTGTGCCCGATGCTGGCTAATCCTTCTGCCCAAATGGCAGCCTTGAGCTGGCGTTCTTAATCACGAATCCCCTAAAATTGCAAGGAAAATCCCCCAGACATAACTTGGTTCATTTTCTCGTGAGATTGCGGGACTCTGTCAAGAGTATTCCTAGTCACCTTCCAGTCCACTGCTCCTGTGTGCCTAAAGGCTGCTCCTGCCTTGGGGGCATTGCTCAAATGCGCTGTTAGGGAAGCATTACTGCCAGAGGCCCTGGCTCAGGCATCACTGAAGCCCTTACCCCTGAGCTAGGGTGGTGTTTGAGAATCATTCATCCCAGGGCAACTCCAGGGAAATCCCCGCTTTGACAAATTGGCCTAACCAGGCTCTATTCCAGCCCTGCCCCTGGCTTGGGCCCCTCCCTGAGGCCCCCAGCCTGGCCCAACCCCCCACTCCCCATGCACATAAAAGGGTCGAATTCTCGTGGCTGCTCCATAAATTTTATTCCGTAAATATTAGTTTTCCCTGTGTTTAATAAAGCAGTGGCCCACCTCCCCGCCTACCCGCCCGCTCCCCGGGGCCGGGGCCGGGGCCAGGGCTGGCTGGTGGGAGAAGGGGCTCTTTCAATGGCTTTGGAGTATTTTTAGAAAAAAAAATAATATAAGGTGGTTTACACGAGCAAGCCAGCAAGCCCGGAGCAGGGCTCGGGACCTCGAGGAAGTTCCTGCGGCAACTGGTCCTAAAAAGTAGGGAAACAGCGCCACCTAGGTCGCAAGGCCTCCGTGGTCTTGTTGGTTGATTACCCGCAGTCAGCTAGGGACCCGCCAGCTAGCACAGGTCACTCCCCGCCGCCGAAGGGGGTGTCCTCTCTGTACTGCAGCTGGGGAGTGGCCCCTTACCTGGTGTCTCACGGGGTTTCCCAGCGGCCCGTCCAAGCTGAGTCCTGGAAAATCCCAGCCGCGTCACTCCTTTTTCTGGACACCAGGAGCCAGCCTCCCAATCCAGGAGTGTTTCCAAGGGAGAGCGAAGGAACTGAAGAGGAAAGAGCCATCTTCGTCTTCCCTGGAATTCCTAAATCCCAAGGTGGCAAAGGGAGAGGTCCGGACTGGCAGAGCTCAGCCTGGCTAAACTAAGATCTTTGCAGGAGGGCTGCTGGGTTCATCCCGGGCCTTGAGGGGAGGACATTCCTGGTTCATTTAAACCCACTTTCACCTCCCAAGCCCTTACAGCCCTGTACAGGTGGGACCATCAGGAGAGTCACAGGGGCCCCTGTGTATGCTACAAAGATGGTCGTGACTTGAGAGGTGTGCACCTCTTCTCCCACCTAGCCCGGGATTCTTTCTCCATCATTCTTTGATGTTGCTAGGGACAATGTTCCTTCTCTCCACTTACTTGGTTTCTTCTTTTCTCCTACTCACAAAACTGCAAAGATTTGCTCCACGGAGTTTAGGGGGCCCTAACTCCTTCAATGACTTCGTCCTGATGTGAGCTAACCTCTGCTAACCCCGTCACCACTGTGTTATTAATGTAACCTATGTCAACAGGCACTTTCCTCATGCACTTTGTTTTCCTCTTTTCCCGTGAGCAGAGTTTCTGACTCCTACTGGGAAATGTCACTGCAATGATATTATAGTAAGCACTAAAGGTATAATAACTATGGCGACGTCTTTTAAGCAATCAGAATGTATTTTTCTAAATTCTTCTCTGAGTAATTTGTCTTTTGTAATATTCTTAGAGGTGGGAGGAACCTGTTCAAAGGGAGCAAGTGACATACTGTAAGAAAGCCATCAACCATGGTCACTGGTCCCTGTTACCTGGAAAAGTTAGAACAGATTATACTAGACCCTTTAGATACACGAGAAACCTCAGGCAAAGGAGGAAGTTGCTTTTTGGGGGGCCCCTGGTTGCTGACCCCAAGGATACTATATGATACTCAAGCTCAGGTGTCTTTGTTGCTCTTGGTCCCTTCCTTGGTCCATGGCCCACAGCCTCAGAAGATGCTCCTTGAGGGAAAACATTGAGAAGAGTATGAGGCCGCTTGTCTGTGTGTGAGGGATGGGGACCCTGGGGATCCTGGAGAAGCTCCAGCCACCACCTACTCCTTCATCTCAGAGTGCTCTAAGGACCACCTTCACATACAGACACTGTCTTTATGATGGTCCTTTCTATATCTTCCCAGTGCCGTGGTTTCCACCTCTCCACCCTGGCACGTGGGATGTCATTGGATGGTACCAAAGCACTTTTCCAAATGCTTACTCTCTTTTCTGGGCTGGTAAGTCTCATACTCTCCCTCAGTTTTTCTGTCTGGACCCCAACAGACCTTTGATGGCTTTCCACAGTCTTGACCCTCATGAATGGACCTTCTGGGCATCCGACTCTCATGGACTTCTGAGAATCAGACCGACCTACCAGGGGAACCCGGAAGAGGCACTGAGAGAACTCCAGGGTGTGGGGAGCACACAGCCATTGACTCACCTGGGAAGACCGTGCCAGGATTACTTGTCCGCTGGGCCAAGGGCCAGTAGTTAAAGGAGCATGCAGTACCACTCTGCCTCCTTGGACTTTGGGGCCCCAAACAGTGGCAGAGCTGGGGAACTAGAGAGTAGAACTTGGGGGCTCCTGGGAGTCTCTTCTGAAATCTGGGTGTTATATTTACTTTTTCATATTGGCAGCTGGAAGGGGAAGCCCATCCCAGCTCACCATTGTTGTCTAGCATGGTTAATCAGATCCTATAATCCTGCTGTGGAAATATTGGGCCTCACTCAAAACAATAGAGACCAAGAATATTGTGGTTAAATTTCAACCAACTGCCTCCCTGGCCTGTTTGCCTAACCCCTACCCCCCTCTCTCGGGCCAGAGTCCTCCCAGCTTTATGGACCCCTGATAGGATCGACAGCCTGGTCAGAAATCAGTGACAGGAGAGGGGAGAATGGAGTAGGGGGGAAACAGTCCTCTTGACTGCCTTTCCATCCTTTCCCTCCTCCTCCGGGCCTGGATTGGTGAACAGGAGCGATAAGAGGAGTCAAGAACAGTGCTGCTTGGGGTCGTGGGTGGCAAAGGAATCCCATATCCAAGACGTGAGCAGCAGAGACTTCTGATGGTATCATTGCCATCTGATGCTCCCAGGGCACAGAGCAGTGCCAGCTGGTCTTGCACCACTCCTGGGAGGAATGGGAAGACACTGGTTGGGAAGGTGGAGTGCTAATAACCCAATAGGCAGCAAACTTAGTACTAATATCGCAAAGGTCTGTGGGGGCGATACTAACGACAACCTGCGTGATTTCACGGTGGTGGCCAGCTCCACTGGGCCACTAGCTTT